AGATGTTAGTCACACTCCAAAATGCATTCAGATACCAATGTGACAAACGTGGTAAAAACCTCTATAGAACAGAAATAGAAGACTAAAAACCCAAATACTGCATAACAAATGTATTCACTCTACCCCTGAGTGGGAAACAAGGCAATAACAATAAAGAATTATCACAGTTACACTATCCAACTCACAAGATTGAAACTGGCAGTTAAAAATAATATGAGAAAACTCTCAACTTTCCAGATCTCAATCCTATAGCCCAGGGGAAAAGATGGGAGATAAATGTGATTAAAGAATTTCAGTTGAATGGATCTGTCCTTTAGCCAGCTAAATTCCAGATAACATAGGAATCACAAAAAGAACAGGAGTACTTGTGGCACCTTAGAGACTAACAAATTTATTAGAGCATAAGCTTTCGTGGGCTACAACCCACTTCTTCGGATGCATCCTAATCTAATAAATAATCTAATAAATTTGTTAGTCTCTAAGGTGCCACAAGTACTCCTGTTCTTTTTGCGGATACAGACTAACACGGCTGCTACTCTGAAACCTGTCATAGGAATCACACTTACTGTTTGCCTTTGGGATACGGAAGCAATATACAACTTTCTGGGTAAAGCTGAAACTAGGACAGGGACATGTAGTAGAAAGCAAAGACATGGAAGACTGTCCTATTATAAATGAAATCTGCTCACTACAATACTATATAGGCTAAGTCAAGCACAACTGGGAATAAGTGTCAACTTTTTTTAATGGCATTTTAACACATAAGAACCCGATTCAGCAAATTCCTTAAACATGATGATGCACTTAAATTTAATCACAAATAATCCACTGAATTCAGTGAGACTACTCAAATGCTTAAAGTCAGACACATACTTAATATCATGCAGAACCAGCACCTATGACCTTGATCTTGCATCATTACAGTCAATGCAAGCTTTTGCCATCAGCTTCAGTAAGCACAAGATCAAGGCCTTTATTACCATTTTCTTCTCCTCCAAAGAGCTCATAATATTGATATGCACTATAAATTGTTTACACTTAGAATGTTGACGATATTTGTTTAGCTGCTTGTTGACACAAATACATGCACAGAGGTTATGTTAGATACATATTTTAAACTGTAGAATCCATGAAAAACATTAAACGTTCATATAACTAGAGCCACTGTTATGAATACATTGCTGTAGAATAAATTATTTCATAAATCTGAAAATTAGCTGCATACTTATACTGTCTAAACCTTATTTCTTAATTCTGTACTTTGTACCTTTCCTATTTACCTATGTTCTCACATTTTTATGTAGCTCAATATAGAAAAAATAAGGGCCTGAATTTTCTTGTTCTCAGTCATTAATGGTGACCTCACAATCTGTAAGCATACCAGCAGTTTTGCTAGCCCTAAGCAATAAGAACAGAGAATGACTTCAGTACTTGTTGGCACTAAGTAATGTTTCTCCTATACATAAACACTTTAAAATACTGTAGGCTTAAGTGGTGCTCCAAGATCATAAATGGATCAACACCCTTGATGTTAATGTAACTTTTCTGTTTTACATTTTATAAATTTGCACTTTGATATCAGGTCTATTCATAAAGCAGACAACTTTGCTAGAATTATTATGTCTCTAATCCCTCATGATACAATTTTACAAAGCTAGGGAATTAATAACTAACAACTGTACATGTATAAAATATTACTATGTTGTTCTATGGAAGTGCACTTAACTTACACCTTGGAATGCTATCAAGAAGCAACCAGTGGAATGCACTATATACAGAAAAGAAATTCAGATTCCAAAGAGTCAGGATATCTCCGACCAATACAAATAAATAACTGTTGTGAACAAAATACATAACTTGTATGTATGGGGTGCCTGTGGCCCTCCAAAATCTTATTCCTGCTTGCTGCTCTCTCTCTGTACACCCCTATTTCTAATCAAGAAAAGGATGGACAATATACTTGTACTCCATCTTAGCAGCCAATCAGAATCTTATCTTACTACTTTATGTAAAATTTGTTCATTGGATGTTTAGGGCTTCATCCTCTCAGGCTCTGGTTCTCAACCAGGGCTTTGCGTACCCCAGAGGGTACGCAGAGGTCTTCAAGGGTGTAGGTCAACTCATCTAGATAGTTGCCTAGTTTTACAACAGGCTACATGAAAAGTGCTAGCAAAGCCAGTCCAAACTAAAATTTCATACTGACAATGACTTGTTGATACTGCTGTATATATTATATTAGTGTTTCTCAACCTGGGGCTCACGATTTATTTTATAATTATGTCGTAAAAATGAGAAAGTAAGCATTTTTTCAGTAATAGTGCACTGTGACACTTCTGTATTTTTAGGTCTGATTTTGTAAGCAAGTAGTTTAAGTGAGGTGAAACTTGGGGTATGCAAGATAAAACAGACTCAGAAAGGGGTACAGTAGTCTGGAAAGGTCTCTGAGAATCACTGCTCTAAGGTGCTGAGAACTCTAAGCTCTCACGTAAGTCAGGGGCAACTGTGGGCACTCAGGACCTTGCAGGATCTAGCCCTTAATGTTTAAGTCAAGCCAACCTACAAGCCTCAGACTTCTTGACTCTTAAATCCCATATGAAGCTGTCTATAGTGCAAATTAATATAATACACAATGTTATGTCTTTGACACTTCTGTGATGAAAAATGTCTTAAACAGAGCCTGAAAAAGAAAATCACCTCCTTTCAACTGGCAAGGTTCACTACCCAAAATTTTGCCCTTTGCTGCAGTTGGGTTAGTGCCTATAATAAAGACTGCCCTAAAAATGTTTACTTATATACACAGCATATCATTAAGAGATAAAAAAATACCAGCTAAATAATGTTTGTTACTCTTTACCATAGAATCTCTGGCATAGTCTCTGCTTTTTATCTGAAGCCTTGTAATTACATGTGGGTGTCTCCTAGCTGAGGGGAAACAAATAACGCCAGTTTATGCAAGCTTTTAAGACAAATTACATGGCATAGGGTAGCAATGCAGGGATTTTAGCATACAGGCTGTACTCTACCTTTATAATAGAGATATCCTATCTCCTAGAACTGGAAGGGACCTTGATAGGTCATCGAGTCCAGCCCCCTGCCTTCCCTAGCAGGACCAAGTACTGATTTTTGCCCCAGATCCCCAAGTGGCCCCCTCAAGGATTGAACTCACAACCCTGGGTTTAGCAGGCCAATGCTCAAACTACTGAGCTATCCCTCCCCCCTTATTATAAGGCTCCCTCTTATAACACTAACTGATAAGGGGCCACTCTACATTGGTTCTCAACTGCATTCAACCAGATAAATGCTCTCAATTCAGATTCCTCTGTAATGCATAAAATAGAGTTTATCAGGGCAGAAGGCGTGTCCTGAGATGTAAACTACTACTAACGCCTGGTTTTATGTTCGTTCCAATATACTGAGTTTTAAAATTTTGATCACGTAGAACAGAAAAATCTTAATTACAGAAATAATTAAAGCCACTGGAAAAAGGGAAAACTATGCACAAGCTTAAACTTTCAAGGGTATGGGATAAGTAATGAAGTACAACTAAATGGGTCAATTTAAATACATACTTATTTAATATATGTTAGCCAATTATGCCCACAAAACCTGAACACAGAATTCACATGATAAAAAGAATCAAAAAATATGATTGAGTCTCACAGATATTCAAGACCTATTTCTTGCAAAAGCTAGAAGTGTATATTACCCATCTTCAACACTCATTTCACTGACAAAATCCACAATAATTGGAAAGTTTCATCCACTTTCCTCTGAATCATATCGCCAAGGCATTTCCTTTATGCCAGTAAAAACTTGTAATTTTACAGTACAAGCAAAACATAGCGCATCATTCCACTGGACGGACATGTCAGGGTTCCCGCCACAGTGTAGGCCTGAGACCTGATCATTCCCCTCCTCCCCAGCCTTGGATGAAACTCAATAGGTTAAACTAGCATGAAAACCCCATGCAAAAGCCGATCACATGGGAGGGGAGGTTACATTCCTTCCTTTACATTGTAACATTTCTCCTCATATTGCAGGATAAAATAATTCATACTGAGCAGTAAGCCAACAAAAGTCTGGAAATAGTGTGCTATTGAAAACTGAGGATTTTATTATTAGGGGAAGAGGGAAAGATGGGCTCTGCACCCTCTCCCAGTGACCACGTTCACAGCGGGCAGTGTGTAGATACACCAACTTTCCCCAGCACTGCAGAAGCAGCATGCAGCTGGGGCAGGGGAGGCAAAGGCACCTGACAGCAGGAGCAGACTGTTCTGACAACTGGGCACCCACCGTCACTTTCAGTAAAGCCCATCAAGCAGCAGCGAGTGACAAGCAGCGGCTCCTCCCCACACCAGCTGCAACCCGTCCCCGAGGGACCGGAATTTATTACACACCCAGGTCCTCCCTGGGCCCCCTCAACGCCCTGGAACTCCCAAGGCAACACACAGCTCCGCCCTTCACCGCCCGTCCTGCCTGCCTGCACCCCCCCCCCATTTCACCTCCAGCCCCCAGGCTCCATGGCCACCTCCCT